AGACCAAGTCATTCCCTCACCAGGAAAGGGAGAGAGAAGCACTGCTGGATGTTAGATTTAGTCTCCAAATCATTAGCAAGACCAAAAAGAAACCAAACCAACAAACCTAGTGGAATTTTTGCCTTTACAGCTAACTCCTCCAAGTAATCATTCTAGGGTACTGGAGATTCAACTTGGGAGTAGAATTCTGTCTCTCAATTGGAAGCTAAAGTAAGATCTGTTTCCAGACAGCAGACCTGAAATTAATATCTGGTAGATGGGCATACTCTGTCCTCAACCAGGAGAGCAATACAGAAGCTAAAATAAAATTGCCAACTTTCACATGCTTTGAGAGGGGGAAAAGTTAATATTAAATGTGATCATTGATTTAGTTTTTAAAAAATATATGCAACATTGAAAGCATGAATGTGCATATATTCTTAACTTTTTTGTCTGTGAATGTTTTTATCTTGATGCATATATTAAACTTTACCTTATTTCAACAGGGGCAATGTTTACAGTGACATGATATTAAAAACAGTGACAAGCAAAGGGTAAATGGGAAATGAAGACAGGAAAAAATGAGAAAGAGTCCTAGAACCAGACATGATTCACATACAAACTATATGCCATAGAGCTTCCCTGGTGGCTTGGATGGTAAAGAATTCATCTGCAATGCAAGAGACCCAGATTCAATCCCTGGGTTGAAAAGATCACCTGGAGAAGGGAATGGCTACCCACTCCAGTATGCTTACCTGGAGAATTCCATGGACAGAGGAGCCTGGAGGGGTACAGTCTAGAGAGTCACAAAGAGTGGGACACGACTGAGCGACTAACACTATATGCCATAGAATTTCAAATGTTTCAGGAAAACTAGTGTCTCTGGATCTAAGTTTCCTAGCAAGTAACATAAAGAGGCAAATGTGGTAAGTGTGAAAATGTTGATTCTTAGCAGATAAAAGTAAACAATAGCCAGAAGAATCCAACTATTCTAGATATAGAGACTTGAGAGAACTCTTTCTCACTTCCTAGAGGTGACTATGTACCTGAACCAGGTTTATAATAACACCTACATATTGTAAATAGAAAAAGTCTGCTATTTCCTCCCCATCAGGACACGGAGAAAAGCAAAATACCAAAAGGCCATTTCTTCTTAAGTAGTTTATTATGACGGTGGACAGTATCTAGTTTGGAAAAAAAAAATCTATATACTGCTAGAACCAGTGTTCTGTCTCATTTGGCAAATAAATAAAAGAAAAAGAAAAAAAATTAAAATTAAATTTAAGAACATCATGGGGAAAATAAGCATTCTTTTATTTACTCACTCATTAAATACTTATGAACTCTGTGTGGTTCAAAATAATACATAAATAATTTTTTAACTGATCTCACTTATTCTCAAATGTAAAGACTCAAGCACATTTGGAAACCTTTATTTCACAATATCTGCAGCATATAAGGTAGAACAGACAACCCTCAAAACCTCTTCCACTTCAAACATTATTTGATGCTTGGTGATAAAACTACCGGCAAAAAACTGATATATAGAATGAAGGAGTATCTCTTGAGGGTGGGATTAAACAGGATTTCCTTGGACAGAATCATAGTTTTCACAGTATAGAAAGAAAAATGGCACAGTTCACCTTACTGCCTAGTATGTTGTACTGTTTTTAATTCAATCTACTTTGCAAATTTATAGGTTACTTTGCCTCAGAAACTAAAATTATGTCTAATATGACAGCCAGTGAAGAAGCCTAGGCCTTTTGGATTCTGAACGACCTGGATGGAGTTCTAGCCTTTTCATGTAATAACTACGTGATCTTGGCAATTTATTTAATCTCTGCACAATAACAAGTTACCTTAATTGTTACGAAAGAAGCAACAATGAAAAGTACCTACAAAATTTAATAGGAGGGGAATTCTCATCAAATGTTTCTTTCCTTCTTTTATAGGAGTTTTATTCTTATAAAAAAAAGCTGATGTACATTTAAGCCTTCATTGTATATTCTCTAAAACTCCTTATAAGAAGCTAGAATTAATTGTAAAATTAAGACTACATGTAAACAGAGGAACATCTTATGCTTTTTCACAGCAAAGGCACTTGATTTTAGCTTCTGAAGCTGTAGTTCTTGTTAGTTCCTTGAACAGTTTCCTGAGTGAAAATACGCAACAGAGACATTTTGACCTGAGTGATATCACTTTCAACAGAACAAAGATGTTTATGTGCTGTATAGTATTTTAGTATTTGATGCTGGGAGCAAAGTTTAAGAGTTCTGAATATACATGAATATCCTAACTTCATTTACCAACATCTCCTTTGAAAAGGTGAACTTGATATGTTTTAAAATTTCATGCCCTTGGGTCTTATTAAGATGGCTTACCTGAATGGAACACATTTAAATCTACTTTATGGAGTGCAACAGTTGGGCTTGTATTCTCCTTTTTCCCTTTCTTCATTCCCTCCTCTATTTCTTCCTCTTCTCCTTCCTATTCCTCCTTCACAGAAAAAAAAATTTGCTGATGGGAAGCACTTTAAGGAAATACTTGCTTAAAAAGAGATGACTTTTAGGAAGAAAAATGAGTCCAGAAAAAATTAAAATTTTAAGGAAAAAACCCTCATTAGAAATCAAACTTCTAAATAAGGCATCTTTTTTTATTAACAGTGATGGAACTAGTGAAATTATAAAAATTTAGTAGTCAGGACTGTCTTACTATGATGAAACTTGCATATTGCTAATGTCACAGAAAGCTATATAACTCTTTAGGTAAATAGCAGGGAAATGAATATGAAGAGCTAATAAGCCATTCATAATCTTTGACCTAATAATTATAAATCTAGAGATTGCTTTTTCTTTTTTTTTTTGAGAATGCCAGCTATGTACCTAAACTTATATTAGGTGCTACAAAGATGAATCAGGCAACACCTGTTTCAAAACATTCATATCAAAATGACTTTAAAGGCTGTTACATGAAACAAAGAAGGATACTACATAATGATCAAGGGATCATCCAAGAAGATGACATAGCAATTGTAAATATAAATGCACCAAACATAGGAGCACCTCAATATATAAGGCAAATGATAACAGCTATAAAAGGAGAAATCAGCAGTACAATAATAGTGAGGGACTTTAACACCCTGCTTACATCAATAGATAGATTGAGACAGAAAAAAATCACTAAGGAAACACAGGACTTAAGAGACACAGACAGACTTAACTGTCCCAAGGATGCAAGGATTCTTCAGTGTACCTAAATCAATGTGATACATCATATTAACAATCTGAAGAATAAAAATCATATGATCATCTCAATAAATGGAGAAAAAGCTTTCAACAAAATTTGACACCCATTTAATATAAAAACTTTCCAGAAAGTTGGCATGGGGGAATATATCTCAACATAATAAAGATCATATATGACAAACCATAACAGACATCATTCTCAATGGTGAAAAACTGAAACCATTTCCTCTAAGATTAAGAGCAAGACAAGATGTCCACTCTCACCACTTATAGTTAATAGTTTTGGAAGTCCTAGTCACAGCAATTAGAGATGAAAAATAAAATAAATCTAAATTGGAAAAGTAAAACTGTCACTGTTCACAGATGACATGATACTTAGAAAATCCTAAAGATTCTACCAGGAAACTATTAGAGCTCATCAATGAATTTGGTTAAATTACAGAGTACAGAATTAATTCACAGAAGTCTCTTGCATATCTATAAACTAACAAGGTATCAGAAAGAAATTAAGGAAAGAATCTCATTTCTTTTTTTGCATATATTTTTGTCCTATCTAAAAACTACAGTATGTTCTTCATGAATTTAGTTTTCCAAAAATCACCTTCAAAATCCAATTTTGAAATATAAGCCAAAGACAGCTTAGGAGCTTTTAGAGGGATAGACAGAAATAAAAAATCCTGGGAAAATAATCTCTCTAGGTCTCTGATGGAGAAAATGGGAGTTTTTACATCTGCCCTAGTTTAAATGAATTTTTTTTTAATTTGTTCATTTTGGCGGCACTGGGTCTTTGATGCTATGTGCAGGCTGTCCTCTAGTTGGGGTGCATGGGCTTCTCAATGCAGTGGCTTCTCTTATTGCAGAGCATAGTCTCCAGGGTGCACAGGCTTCAGTAGGGTGCACGGGCTTAGTTGCTCCATGGCATGTGGAATCTTCCCAGATGAGGGATTGAACCCATGCCCTCTGCATTAGCAAGCAGATTCTTAACCACTGTACCCTCAGGGAAGTCCCTTAAATGTGTTTTTTGGATAGCAAAAAAACAAACAAACAAAAAAAACTATTGTTTTCAAGTCACTGGGAGACTAGAACAGGAAATCTAAAATTTTGCAAACATACTCTGATTGCAAACAATCAGAGACAATACGCTGTCCTACTGTCCCTTAGCTCTGTGTGTGTGCTAGTCGCTCAGCTGTGTCTGACAGTTTGCAACCCCATGAACCGTAGCCCTCCAGCCTCCTCTGTCCATGGAATTCTCCAGGCAAGAATACTGAAGTGGGTTGCCAGTCCCTTTTCCACGGTATCTTCCCAACCCAGGGGTTGAACATGGGTCTGCTGCACTGCAGACAGATTCTTTACCATCTGAACCACCTGGGAAGCTCCATGCCTTAGCTAAAGAGTCACAAATATGACAAGTAGGAGGACGCGGAATGAATACGATTTCAATGGAGACACTGAAAAAGAATTAGCTGTATGCTTAATGAGGTATGTAATAACATGATAGAGAATTCTGGCAACATAAAATCTATAGATCCTCATAGGGGAAATGTCAAAGAAAGGGGAAAAAAAGCCTGTAAATTGCTACTTCCATGTATTATAGCTTTATTGAAAATTATAAACTCATTTTTCTTTCCTACCATACAATGATTGCTTTAGGGAAAGAACTACACCTTTAAGTATCAGTTAATCTGCATCATTTAATGAAGTTTTTGTCACATAACATTCTTCCATTAAATGTTTCTTAAAGGAAAAAAAAAAGGAAAGAAGGAAGGAGGGAGGGACGGAGGGAAGGAGGGAAAAAATTAAAGGAGAAACATGAATGAAAAGACAGGAGAGTGGGGTTAACGCTAATGGAAGTTGGGGGTCCTCAGGACCTGACGGGGCTTCAGCTTTGGGACCTTGTGGTGTCCAGTTCATGCCGGATGGAGCTGGTCTCCTCAGGACCTGCTTGGAGGTAGTGCTGCTGAAGGAGAAAATCATCCAGAGGCCCTAAGACTACTGACAGTGGTGGCTACTGGTAGACTCTTCCCACGGTGCTTCTTCATACCACGTGAACTCCTACAAGGACAATGAGCATCACTACTTCCCTTGAACTTGAACTGGAAAGAGAAGGTCAAGGAAAGGAAGCAGAGGAGCGAAAGATCAAAACTGCAGTCTTGTCTCTGCCATTATTAGTGCTTAATTTAACATCAGTACTTAATGTAAGATTGAGGCACAAAGTGACTTCATGACTTGATCATCACCTTAAAGAGATCAAGCCTTGAGCCTTTGGAGTGGAAGCACTGACTCCAAGACCCTAGACTACCAGCGAACTAACCCCAGGGAGCATCAAATAGTAAGAACTCACGCAAAGGAGACCACTTGAATACAAGGCCTGCCTAACCACCAGCAGCACCATGCGCCTCATCTAAACAACAAACAAAACAAAAATACAAACCCAATCATCAGCAGACAAGATTACCACCTCACTCAGCCTTGCCATCAGAGGAAAAGCAAACAGACAAAGACTCAGCACAAATCTCACCCTAGCCAAGCTCACACAAACCAGTGGGCAAACCTTAGGAGGGCAGAAACCAAAAGAAACAAAGAATTCACCCTTGAAGCCTGGGGAAAGGAGACATCAAACACAATAAGTTTAACAAAAAAATAATGAAAAGATAGAGAAGTACTACACAAATGAAGGAACAAATTAGAAACACAGAAGTCCAAGTAAATGAAGAGGAAACAGGCAAACAACTTGAAAAAGAATGCAGAATAATGATAGTAAAGATGATCATAAACCTTGAAAACAAAATGGAAAAAATGCAAGAATCAATTAACAAAGACCTAGAAGAATTAAAGAGCAAACATACAGAGACAATATAATAACTGAAATTAAAAACACTATAGAAGGAATCAAAAGCAGAATAGCTGAAGCAAAAGAACAAATTAGTGAACTGGAAGATAAATGATGGAAATAACTTCTGAAGAGCAGAAAAAAGTAAAAAGAATGAAAAGAACTGAGGAAAGACTCAAGGCCTCTGGGACAATATCAAACACACCAACATTTGAATTACTTGGGTTCCCTGAAGAAGAGAAAAAGAAAGGGGATGAGAAAATTTTTGAAGAGATTATAGTTGACAATTTCCCCAACATGGAAAAGGAAATAGTCAATCAAGTTCAAGAGATGCAGAGAGTCCCATACAGGATAAAGTGAAACTGAAATTTGCTCAATCCTGTCCGACTCTTTGAGACCCCATGGACTATACACTCCATGGAATTCTCCAGGCCACAATACTGGAGTGAGTAGCCTTTCCCTTCTCCAGGGGATCTTCCTGACCCAGGAATCGAATGAGGCTCTCCCACATAGCAGGTGGATTCTTCACCAGCTGCACCACAAGGGAAACCCAAGGAGAAACATGCCAAGACACATACTAATCAAACGAACAAGAACTAAACACGAAGAAAGAATATTAAAAGCAGCAAGGGAGAAGCAAAAAGTAACATACAAGGGAAACCTCATATGTTTAACAGTTGACCTTTCAGCAAAACTCTGCAGGACAGAAGGGAATGGCAGGATATATTTAAAGTACTGAAAGAGAAATATCTACAACCAAAATTATTGTACCTAGCAAGGATCTTATTAAAAATTGATGGAGATATCAAAAGCTTTTCAGACAAGCAAAAGTTAAGAGAATTCAGTACCACCAAACCAGCTTTACAACAAATGTTAAAGGAACTTTGTTAAGAAATACAAGAGAAGAAAAAGATTGACAAAATCAACCCCAGACAGTTAAAACAATGGCAATAGGAACATATATATCAATAATTACTTTAAATGTAAATGGATTAAATGCTCCAACCAAAAGACACAGACTGGCTGAATGGATACAAAAACAAGACCCATATATATACTGTCTACAAGAAGCCCATTTCAGACCTAAAGACACATATAGACTGAAACTGAGGATGAAAAAATATATTCCATGAAAATGTGAAGGAAAATAAAGCTGGAGTAACAATCCTCATATCTCACCAAAAAGACCTTAAAATAAACAAGATTACAAGAGATGAGGACAGACACTACATAATGATTAAGGGATCAATCCACGAGGAAGACATAACAATTGTAAGTATCTATGCACCCAACATAGAAGCACCTCAATACATAAGACAAACACTAACAGATATAAAAGGAGAAACTGACAGTAACATAATAATAGTAGGAGACTTAACACCCTACTCACACCAATGGACAGATCATTGAAACAGAAAATTAATAAGGAAACACAAGTCTTAAATGATACATTAGATGAGATGGGTCTCATTGATATCTGCAGGACTTCAATTCAAATGCAGAAGAATACGCCTTCTTCTCAAATGTACATGGAACATTCTCCAGGATAGACCACATCTTGGATCACAAATCAAACCTCAGTAAATTTAAGATAATTGAAATTGTAATCAAGCATCTTCACTGACCACAACGCTGTGAGACTAGATATCAGTTACAAGAAAAAAAGTGTAAAAAACACAAACACATGGAGATTAAAAAATATGTTTCTAAATAACCAAAATATTACTGAAGAAATCAAATGGAAATCAAAAAATTTCTAGAAACAAATGACAATGAAAACACAACAACTCAAAACCTATGGGATGCAGCAAAAGCAGCTCTAACAGGGATGTTTATAGCAATACAATCCTACCTCAAAAAAAAACAAGAAAAATAGAATACCCAACTTTACATCTAAAATAACTAGAAAAAGAACAAAAACCCCCAAATTAGTAGAAGGAACAAAATCATAAAGATCTGAGCATAAGTAAGTGAAAAAGAAATGAAAAAAAAAAAAAAAACAATAGTAAAGATTAATAAAACTAAAAGCTGGTTCTTTTAGAAGATAAACAAAATTGACAAAGCTTTAGCCAGACTCATCAAGAAAAAAAGAGAAGAATCAAATCAACAAACTTAGAAATGAAAAAGGAGAGATTACAAAAGACAATGCAGAAATACAAAGGATTATAAGAGACTATTATGAACAAATGTATGGTAATAAAATGGAAAACATGGAAGAAATGGACATCTTCTTAGAAAAGTTCAATCTTCCAAGACTGAACCAGGCAGAAGTAGAAATTATTAACAACTCAGTTCCAAGCACTTAAATTGCAGCTGTGATCAAAAATCTCCCCAAAACCAAAAACCAGGAACAGATGGCTTCACAGGAGAATTCTATCAAACATTTAGAGAAGAGCTAATGCCTATCCTTCTAAAAATTTTTCAAAAAATTTCAGAGGAAGGAATACTTCCAAACTCATTCTACAAGGTCACCATCACTCTGATACCATAACCAGATAAAGATAACACAAAATAAGAAAACTATAGGCCAGTATCATTGATGAACATTGACGCAAAAATCCTCAACAAAATTTTAGCAAGCAGAATTCAACAACACATCCAAAAGCTCATGCACCATGATCAAGTTGGGTTTATTCCAGGGATGTAAGGATCCTTCAATATACGCAAATCAATTAATGTGATACACCATATTAACAAATTGAAAGATAAACCCATATGATAATCTGAATAGATGCATAAAACACCTTTGACAAAATTCAGCACCCATTTATGATTAAAACTCTTCAAAAAATGGGCATAGAAGGAACCTACCTCCACATAGTAAAGGCCACATATGATAAGCCTACAGCAAATCTTATTCTCAATGGTGAAAAACTGAAAGCATTCCCCCTAAGATGAGGAATAAGACAAGGGTGTCCACTTTCACCACTATTATTCAACATAGTTCTGGAAGTCCTAGCTACAGCAATCAGAGAAGAAAAAGAAATAAAAGCCATCCAGATCAGAAAAGAAGTTTTCACTTATTTGCAGATGACATGAAAACTTTAAATGTAGTATCAGAAAATTACTAGAGCTAATCAGTGAATTTAGCAAAGTTGCAGGATACAAAATCAATACACAGAAATCACTTGCATTTCTATGTACTAACAATGAAAAATCAGAAAGAGAAATTAAGGACTCAATCCCATTCATCATTGAAACAACAAAAAGAATTAAATATCTAGGAATAAACTTAACTAAGGAGACAAAAGAACTGAACACAGAAAATTATGACACTGATGAAAGAAGCCAAAGACTTCATAAACAGATGGAGAACTATTCCATGTTCCTGGGTAGAAAGAATCAATATTGTGAAAATGAATATACTACCAAATGCAATCTACAGATTCAATGCTATCCCTATCAAATTACCAATGACAGGTTTCATAAGACTAGAATAAGAAATTTCACTGTTCGTATGGAGACACAAAAGACCATGAATAGCTAAAGCAGCCTTGAGTAAGAAGAATGGAGCTGTAGGAATCAACCTTCCTGACTTCAGATTATACTACAAAGCTGCAGTCATCAAGACAGTTTGGTACTGGCACAAAAACAGAAATACAGACCAATGGAACAAGATAGAAAGCCCAGAAATAAACCCATGCACCTATGGGTACCTTGTTTTTGACAAAGGAGGCAAGAATATACAATGGGGCAAAGACAGCCTCTTCAATAAATGGTGCTGTAAAAACTGGACAGCTACATATAAAAGAATGAAATTAGAACACTTCCTAACACCATACACAAAGATAAACTCAAAATGGATTAAAGACCTAAATGTAAATGTAAGACCAGAGACTGTGAAACTTTTAGAGAAAAACATAGGCAGAACACTCAATGACATAAATCAAAGCAAGATCCTCTATGACCCACCTTCTAGAGTAACAGAAATAAAAACAAAAGGAAACAAGTGGGACATGATTAAACTTAAAAGCTTTTGCACAGCAAAGGAAACACTAAGCAAGGTGAAAAGACAACCCTCAGAATGGGAGAAATTAACAGCAAATGGAAACAACTGACAAAGGAGTAATTTCCAGAATATACAAGCAGCTCATACAACTCAACGCCAGAGAAACAAACAACCCAATCAAAAAGTGAGAAAAAGACCTAAACAGACATTTCTCCAAAGAAGACTTACAGATGGCCAACACACACATGAAAAGATGCTCAACATCACTTATTATTAGAGAAATGCAAATCAAAACTACAATGAGACATCAATTC